TTGATCTCAAGACCCTAAGATCACAACCTGAGCCTAAACGAAGAGCCTAAACCAAGAGACGGATGCTTAACCAACTGTGCCACCCAGGCACCCCAACATCCATAGAAATTGCTTTAAACATTCCTGCACTCAAGTATTTGCTTCAATACACACTGTACAACCAAACCTGAAAGCCCAAATGGTTAAATCTCTCTCCAACTCCTCTATACATTCCAGTAACAGTTTTCTCTCTTAAGTATACTGACATTTAGCTTTTTCTAATGCTCTTTGTCAGGTCAACTTAACCTGGTAGTTTTTGCTAACTTTCCAAAAATGTTTTAGACCTCAACGATTCCTTTAAGTTGTCTGAAGTCAAGATCTGTATTCTATTCTTCTTTTAATTTTAATCCTAACACTTCAGCACACAGTCTTACAAATACTTTGACATACTTACCCCTTTAAAATAGCTTCCTAATGTCATATTTAAGTAATATTTGGCATTCAGATGATACCTGGCTAGTATTTGCTTTTGTTGAAAGAATAAATGTTAAATGTTTTTACAAGATCAATTTACAAAACTGCATTTTATATCCTCTCTAGAACCCTATCATGAAACATGAAATGTGTTAGTGCCAAAAATAACTTTGAAATGTGAGAAAGACTGAATATATTCCTACTCTATCTTTGAAAATGTCCCTTAAAATATTAAGATAATACCAAAATTAGGCAACTAAAACATAAAAGGAGAAAAGGCAATTCAAATCAGTCATGGTCTTTTTCTTTAAAAATAAGCAAAATCACATGCTTCACATAGATTTTGGTTAATGGTGCGTTACTACAAAAAATATCTTACATAAATCTACGTACACCTGTAAGAATAATTAACACAAGATGAAAACTAATATTGCAGCCATACCTATGTATAAAAAAATTCTGTATTTAAAGGAGCCTCTCACTCAAGAGGGAAATAAAAAGGTTTGGTATTTACGTATATGTCATACTAAAGTAAGAAACCAAGAAGAATTCCCAGAAGAATAATTTACCAAATTCTGTTAATGAATTTTACACACACACACACACAGTTTCACAAAAACATAGATCTTGGTATAAAGCCCCATTCAACACTTACCCAACATTTAGCAAGCATATATTATGTGCCAGGCACAGTTCTGGGGAACTCAGAATACATTAATGAACAAAATATGCAAAAATCCTTGCCCTTAGAAAGGCGACATTCTATTAGGATAAAATCTTAATAATAAAGTAGGACAGGTTCCCACAAATTTCTTATATGCTAAGATAACATAAACATTCAGATAAACACAATGGTGCCAGGACAGGGAAGCAAAGCTAACAAACTTCTAAGAAAAAAAAGAAAAAGAAACAAAATCTGAAAAACCAAAAGCAAAAGTCAGACACAGTTAAGGGACGAAAAACTACACTTAATAATTTAATATTCCAATCAAATTATAAAAAGTAAAACATTATTTACAAAAACTATAATGAACTTGACAATAGTTCAGAAGCTAATTTGTGGTTCTGTAGGAAGTCAATACGAAGCCTAGTGGTTATAAGAATGGTTTTTGTGATATTATAAAAGCAAGGGCATGAATTCTAGTCCTGCCAGTTACTAACAGTGAGACCCTCAGTTTCTTCATAAAACAAACAATAATATCCCACTTGACTGTTACAAGGATTAAATGAAAACCAAAAACAGAAAGTAAATCAAATATCCAGATGGATGGATGAATATATTGTATCAACTCACTAGAATACTATTCAGTAATAAAAAGGAATGGACTGATACACGTTAACAAGGATGAATCTTTAATGAATCATGCTGAGCAAAAGAAGCTGAACACAAGAGTATATGAAATCCATTTAAATGAAATTCTAGAAAAGACAGTACTAGTCTAGAGGGAGAGAAAGCAAATGAGTAGTTGCTTAGAAATACTAGTGGAGAGGGACTGACTTGCAAAGAAGCACAAGGGAACTTCTTGGATGTCTGAAATGTTGCTTTATCTTGATTGTGGTGGCATTTCCTTGGGTGTACACATTTGTCAAAACTCATCAAACACTATGCTTTAAATAAACATATTTTATTGTATGTAAATTATACATCAAAAAAGTGGATTTTTAAAAAGGATTAAATGAAATAGTATGTAAAGTTCTTAACACATTATCTGGGACACAGAAGTATTCAAAAAATGGTAAGTATTATCAAAAACATCAGCTACCACTATACAACACTCAGGGGGAGGTGGCAGAATCACCAATCACCTGATCTCTCTGGTTGCTTAAATTCGAAATAAACATATGTTTTCAGTATCTGACCTAAACCAAATGCAATGAGGAGCACTACAGAGATCAAGTTTAGGAGGATGCCAACTGGCAGACCTTAGGCAAAAGACAAAGAAAATAAGGAAAGGGAAGAGAAGGAGGCTGCATTTCCAAAAGAAAACAAAGAGCTAAAAGAATGATAGCGTGCTATCAATGCCAAAGAACACCTAAATTATCTAAGTATTACCAAAGTGTAACTCAAAACTGAGTCAATGACTATATAAACAAAGTCTAAAAACAATCCTATAGATACAGTCCTTAATTTTACTGGGGGGCAAGAAGAGGGGTAAGATCCATGAAGGTGGTTCAAATGAAGTTAAAGGATTCTGTCAACCAAACAGGAAGGGAGGCCATACTGTGGACAGTTTAGAAATACAAAGCAACAATTATAAATCCACAAGCCAAGGTTGGTTTTATTTTCTTTTTACAAGTCTACATGATTAAAAAAAAAATACTTACGAAAGTAATTAAAACATGTTGTTGATAATGGAAGTTGAACTGAAATACAATTCAAGTGAAACACAAAACATTTATGAGATTTCTATTTTACTGCTGCTTAGAACTGTTGATCAAGGAAGAGTATTTTTTTGAAGAACAAATAATTCTGCTGAATAACAGAAACCCTCTAAATAAGACCAGAAGAACTGAATTGGCTGTCACTTACGAAAGCACAAGTCTTCTTAGTGTTAACTTCAAAGATGAAAAGAAAAAATTAACACCCCAACTGGACATTCTGGGAAGCAAAAGACTTTAGACTATAAATCTCAACTGTCAGGGTTTGTTTAGTTTTGTTCTGATTTTAAGTACCTCCACTTATAACACTGAAGAGGTAGAAAGGACAGGACAGAGAGTCAGGAGTCCTGGGTTTCAACTCTAGTTCCACCAGAAGTTGGATTTCTTCTTCCCTAAAATTGGGCAGTTGAAGCAGGGTACTGAAAATAATCCAATATAATCTAATTTCCAATCTCTAGAGGGAAACCATAACTTCTACTGAAAAAGTTAACAGTGAAAGGGTTAAACATTTGTTTTTAATACATTAAAAAAATAACTAAACTGGAAGTCTTCTTCCTGAATTCAGATAAAATACCAAGATATATGTGGCAAACGAAGGACCTAAAGCAATAAGTATACTGCTGATCAACGTTCACAAAAAGCCATTTATCTTCCAGGGACTAACTGTTCATTCTAGAACAAGTTTCCTGATTTCAGTTCTTCCCAAACCAAAATAACTGGATCCAAGTAATTACATACACTATTGATACTCATAAGCTACCTCTCCTTTTGTATCAAAACCCATAAAATAATATTAACAGAAATTTAACTTTGTGGAATACAAAGTTGTGTTTTTTAAAGTTCAATTCAATTAATTCTCATACTCTTTGAAAAGTTGAATACTGAATGTTCATCCCGATACTATTGCCATATTCATTTTCTACTTAAAGTGCAAGACTTTCAAATAACCAAAAACCAAAGAGAAATGTGATTAAATCACAGCAGAAAGTAGTAATAACAGGGTAATATAATGAGGTCAGAACTGGAGCAGCCAATCAAAGGCATAAAAGCATTTCCTGCAATATTAATAGTCAAAAGAGAAAACCAATCACAGAAACCTCGAGCCTTCTTCTGACAGTCACAGAAGCAAAAGAACCAATCCACGCACACCCAGGGTTGACAATAAGGCGGGACCGCAGGTTCATTGAAGAAATTCTTGAGGGTGCAGTTACTATGAAGTTCGCACGCAAGTAACACCACTCGAGTCATAAACACAGTCAAGCCAGATAAAATTTATCCGTATGCAAAATCCCGTCAGGGAGAAAAGCAGAATTTTTACAGAAAGCGCTGTATTATCAGAAAACGTTAACTGTCAATTTAGATGCATTAAATCCTCAACTTCGAGAAGACCCTCCTCTCCGATGACAATTCTCGGGGATACGGCGCGGGGACGGGGCAACGCCAGCAGCTCGTTGCTGAACATCCCTGTTTGCTTTCTAACGCTGAGCGCCGAGCGGGCGCCTTCCCGGCCAGGCGGGCACCGCCGTCCCTTCTCGCGGCCGTGGAGCTAGCCGGTCAACGGCTCTCTACCGCTACACCCCACTGGGTAGTCGCGGCCCCCGCCCTCCCCCGCCGCAGTGCTGCACCGCCTCATCCCGCTGCACCACCGCCGGCTCGAGAGCGAGGGTTACCTTGCTAGGAGGAAGATGTTTGTTTTGAACGCGTTTTACTTTCCATAAGTCACTTCAAAGAGAACCCAACGCAAAACTAAATTTGCAAGTGGGGGAAAAAAAATCTTTCCTAGCCAAAGGATCCCCTGCCCATTAATTAACCCCGCGCCGGAGAGAGATTGGGAGGAGGGGGAGGAGGTAAACAGAGGCCGTACGCCAAGTGCGGCCAGAACATCCCCTGCGCCATTCCCGGCCGCCGCTTACGGCAAGGCCCCCTTACGGCAGCGTAAGCGGCGCTGCGAGCTAATCACAACACTGGGACGCAACAACATGGCGGCCGCGGGCGGGCGCTGCGCCGGCCGAGAGGGTTTACGCTACTCCGCCGGCGTAAGGTCCCATGCGTTGGAGCGGCAGAGGCGCCCTCCAGCGAGCGTAAAGCGCTCTGTGAATGGCGAGGCCCGACTGACAAAGGGGAGGGGGGAGGAGGGAAGGGGGGGTAATAAACACTCGAGTCCCTACCGATTCCTCCTCCTTCTCCATCCCGGTGGGCATCTGGGGCACGGCCCGGTTGATGGAGACGCAGTCGTTGAGATCAGGCATGTCCTTGCCGCGGTAGATAGGCAGCGGTTTGGCGGCGTCCAGCGCCCGCGCTCGGAAGGAGAGTTTACTCATTGTCTCCCCGCCTTACAGGAACAGCCCGGGCGGCGGCGGCGGGGCGGGCGGGGAGGGGGGGAGGACTCCCGCCGCCTCCTCCACCTCCTTCCTCAGTGCAGCGCGGCCGGCCCGCTCCTCCTCCTCCTCCTCACTGCCCCCGGCCACAGCATGGGCGCCCACCCCGCCCGAAAACAGCCCCCCGCCGCCCGCGGCCGCTTCCACACACTAGATCCGCCGCTCGCCCGCCCGATCCGCTCCCTGCGCCATGGCCAACATGGCGGACATTACCACAGCGGCGGCGAGCGATCCCGGCAGCCCGCGCGAGAGCGCGCCCCCGCCGCGGGGACGCGCCTCGCCCTCTCCCTCCCTCCCTCCTTCCTCTCCCTTCCCCTCCCTCGCCTGCCCACCCACTCTCTCCGCGGCGCGGCCGGCCCGCGGGAGCGTGCTCAGCCTCGGGCCGCTCAGGGGCGAGGGGGCGGCGGCGGCCCTCGGCTTGCCGGCCGCTTCTAGCCTGTGGCAGGTGCCAGGTGCGCAAGTTAACCCGCGCCCCAGAGCGTGCGCCTCTGCCTCCGCGGCCCCGACCCGCCGCTCGCTGGCTGCCCCGAAGGAAAGCGCTGGGCAAAACACGGCAGCGCGGAACAGCGCGTGTCTGCAGAAGTCCGTGAGCGGGAAAGGAAAGGAAGATGTCAACCAGGGCACAACAGCCACCACCGAGCCTGTACTTAGAAAGCGCTATCTCCACGGTGCCCCGAAAGCCGGCTAATTCGCATCCTCCAATTCGCACATCCCGGGGAGGTGCGAAAGGTCCATTCCGTTTGCCCACTCAGAGCGGCGCAGATTTGCCGGTCCCGCCCGCCCCGAAAACGGTCATGCAGCCCCAGCCCTCCACCCTGCATCCTCTCTCCAGCACCTGCCCCAAAGAGCTCTTCGCGGTAATGCATCTTCACTAATCGTCGCCTTCTCCGGGAAGACGCTTATGGCAGCAGTGAGGGTTAATGTTTGAGGCTGCCAGATGCAACAAGTGCCCTTGAACCTGTCACCCAAACTTCTTAGAGTTATTTAATGGATGCTAGATACTTCTCTGATTTCAAACACAGAGTTCTTAAACTTATAAAAGTTAACCAAGGCAGCACACATTTCCGAAGTGGCAGGTGTGTGTAAAATATTGGGTATTGTGGAAGAGGCAAAGAAGTTTGAAATTAAGTTCCTGCCCTCATGGAGCTTTCACGTTAATGGGATGACAGGATGGTTGTAAAGATGAGTAACAATAAGAGACGTGAGTAGTTGAAGAACTGGACAACAGGAAAGATAAATGATGGGAAAAAATTAAATACTCAAGGCGCCTGGCTAGCTCCATAGGTTGAGCATGGGACTCTTGATTTTGGCTGAGGTCATGGTCTGAGGATGGTGAGATCCAGCCCCATCTTGGGCTCCCCCCCCCCACACACCAAGCCCTCTTGGGATTTTCTCTCTCTCTCCCTCTCCCTGCTCCCCCACCCTGCTTGTACACACTCACTCTCCCTCTTTAAAAAAAAAAAAAAAGTGTAAATACTTTACACAGGAGATGTCACATGGCAGGAGAACATGATTAGTTACCAAATGAGCTGTACAGGCAATAACTGCCATAAGAGATCAGAGAAAAGAGACATTACCTTAGCTTGAACTGGTTAGAGAAAGTTCTAAAGAAGAGGAGAAATGAAGTAGACTCAAATTTAAAAAGTATCAAGACTATTGTTGACATCAGCTTTGGTTAGCCAAGAGTTTCTTGGTTAGTCTTTAAGCATTACAGCTTTTGTACAAAATCCCTAGGAAAAGTGTAACACATTTTACCATTTTCTTTTTTTTTTTTTCCAGGAAGTCTTTGTCTGTTACAAATAATTATTTTTGTGGTTATCCCAAATGATTTTATAAATTTCATAATTTTTATATGCCTGACTGGTATCCATGAACTATCAAAAGTACAATCCCCATTAAAAAAAAAAAATGGATGTACTGAAAGGCTCTGATTAAATTGTATATTTTCAGGGGCGCCTGGGTGGCTCAGTCGTTAAGTGTCTGCCTTCAGCTCAGGTCATGATCCCAGGGTCCTGGGTTCAAGCCCCACATTAGGCTCTCTGCTCAGTGGGAAGCCCGCTTCTCCCTTTCCCATTCCTCCTGTTCATGTTCCCTCTCTTGCTGTGTCTCTCTCTATCAAATAAGTAAATAAAATCTTAAGAAAAAAAGAAAGAAATTGATTATTTTCAGGAATAAAAGTAACTATATCCTCTTTCATTAATGGTGGTTTGGTTTGGTAAAATTTTTATATTTTTAATGATTTTTCGTTTTCCATGATGTTTTCTTAGGCAACATTCCACCAAATTACAGCTTTCCAAAAGTTGTAGTTTTGTGTATAATTCTTTAGTATGATATCATTTTAATTTTAAAACCAGAATCAGGCTGAATGTAGCTTTCTTTTTGAATCTAAAATTTATGCTAAATTCTAATCTAAAATTTAAGACACTGATACCCTAGTGTCCCATTACGTTTAATCAGAAGTAATAACACTCTTGTTGAAAAGTAAATTATCAAACAATGAAACTTAAGGTTGTAGTAAAAGTGAAAAAAAGGAAAGAAAAAAAACCCTTGTCTTTTTTATTAAGGCTTTATAGAATAGAATTTGTATTTAATCAGAATGACTAAAGACACTTTTTTGGCAATGAAAGCAAAAGATGCAAGTCAAATTGTTAGAGCTCTTGTTTTTTTGTCATCTACTTATATTGCAACCACAACTACGTATATTGCATTAATATGAAATACTTTTGAAATACATAATTCTTTTTTTAAATGGAACCTATACAAAAATCACATACTGTTGGATAGGATGTTGAAATGACTGGTGTGTAATATTTTTTAAAACCTTCATTTTTGGTCAGCACAAATTTCCTTTAATTATCATTTCCAGTAGGATTTCATTTTGAGGTTTAACATGTATGAAGCCAGTATAAAGTTTTACAGTGTAGTGATTCTGGATTCCAAGTCAATATTCTGTTTGGCTCAGAGAAAAACAGGTGATTAGCTGAATTCCAGAGTGGAAGAATTGATATCTACAGTCATTTCTATATGGCATCAAAACTCTATTTCTTCCTCCATTACCTCCCCCTCATTTCTTTGTTCCCCTCTCCCTTTTTCCTCTTCTTCTCCTCTCTTTTCTCCCCACCTCCCCCTTTGAAGGCAAAATGGTGGATATGGGCTTCATGACACTGTCTACATAGTCTAACACATTTGGTCCAGCAAGACTTTGAGCATTGTTTAGCAAAGCTTAAGTGTTTCCCATCCACTTTGTTGTTGGAAACAATGGAGGTGCTGTGACTCACTTCTTGTAGGCAATACCTTTCTCAAGCTAATGGGGATGTCCTGCTCTGAATACTACCCTCTGGAGCAGTTCTAGTTCTCTGCAAAGAACAAGATCTTGTTGGTAGAGGGTCAACACTGTATTCAAGCCTGAAAGGGGGCAAAGGGAGTCATCCAGAGCTTTTATCTGCGTGCCTAGCATTTCTCAAGTTCAGAAAGGATAACTGTTTTTTCTATGTATTTATTGTTACTCTCTCTCAAGAAAGGAAGCATTGAGTATCTATACCACGCACTTCAGTAGTACTCAATTAATTGCATTCCACTTAATTCTCATTATAACCCTATGAAGAAATGTTATAATTTTACTAATAAGGAAACAGGCTCAGACAGATAATTTGCCAAGTCTCAACACTAATAATTCACAAAACTGGGTTCAAAATCCAGGTCTAGCCTGACTCCAAAACTCTTGTTTTCTCATCAGTGCCACCCTGCTATCCAAGTTCATTCAACATTCTAAAGTTGCTCTTCCAGATTACTGAGACCTTCCAACCAGTGGCTTATAGAGTCATAACCCAGAGCCGAAAGATGAAGTAGCCTTAAGGAGGGCAGGAACAGGGTGCCTGGGTGGCTCTGTTGGTTAAGCGACTGCCTTCAGCTCAGGTCATGATCCTGGAGTCCCTGGATCCAGTCTCGCATCGGGCTCCCTGCTTAGCAGGGAGTCTGCTTCTCCCTCTGACTCTCCCCCCTCTCATGCTCTCTCTCTGTCTCATTCTTTCTCTCTCAAATAAATAAATAAAATCTTTTTTAAAAAAAGGAGGACAGGAACAACATCTGCCCTGTTAATCACTATATCCCCAGTTCTGTACCTCACATACAGCAGGCTCCTAACATATATATGTTGACTGCTTTTCCCTGAAGAAATTTAGTGATACTGACCCCATTCCAGTCCAGCTTGGAGTTCACATACCCTATTGGCCTGAAATGCGACCTAGCCATTGATGACAAGATTTGCTCTTATTGGGGCGCCTGGGTGGCTCAGTCAGTTAAGCGTCTGCCTTCGGCTCAGGTCATAAACCCAGGGTCCTGGGATTGAGCCCCACATCGGGCTCCCTGCTCAGCGGGGAGCCTGCTTCTCCCTCTCCCTCTGCCTCTCCCCTGGGCTTGTGCTTTCTCTCTCAAATAAATAAATAAAATCTTAAAAAAAAAAAAAAAAAGATTTGCTCTTATTATGGCCTACCCTGAGTTTTAGGACCAATTAAAACAGTTCAAAGAAACTTTTTTGAAACCTGAAATGCTATCACAGTAACAGATTTTTGGTCTAGTTGTCATTGTTTTATTGTTCTTTTTCTTTGACCATGTAATAGATTTCTTCCCCAAATCTCCACTCTCCTCTTGCCCTGTTGGCAATGATTATAGAGCTGGTAATAAAATAGTTTGAGGCAGATAACACAATATGCTTTTCAAGTGGGACATAGCTCATGTATTCTTGGCTTCCAATTCAGTGCCCCAAACAGAATGCCTCTGTTTCACATTTGGAAAATAGCTTTTATTTGTATACAAATACTATTTTTCATAAAGTTGATTTCTAATCTATTTGTTAAATACCCATATATTTGTTAGAGCTAGAAACAGAAAATACCTTTTCAACTTTTGAGGTAAATCCTGTTATAAAATGTTTTTATCAAAACCTGTTTCAAATGATTGTGCAGCCTAATGGCCTATTTTAATTTCCACATACAATGCACTGAGTACAGTTATCCTAAAATTGGTCCACTTATATATGCTCTGGACCAATTCTAAATGGCATACATTTAGCCAACCAAGTGTAATATATAAACCTCAAGAATTAGAAATAGTTTTAAAACTGCTTTCTAAATGTAGTCTATATTAGAATAAAGGTCAAATAATTGTAAGGATTGGGATTATATTCCAGTTTCCATTTCCCTGTACTACAGTCAGGGCAGGCAGCTTCCAAATAAT